GAATGGTGGTAACGTCAAGGGAGACCGGTTACTTCTCAGTTCAGATGTCGAAGGTTCGAGTGCCTGATTACAGACTGCATGTACCTATGACTTATATATTTTTTTACGATACCAAGTGACGGACAAGTCGTGTGCTTAGTGGTAATCCACCTGTCTATAGCTGTTGATGGTGGTAAAAGAGTTCGTCCAGGGAAGTACTGCCACCTTATCTATTTCTGCCGCCAAGCAGTAATGCGGTTTTGAATGATAAGTAAGGGTGCTGGTAAAATTACATGCAACTTGTGTCTCAGGATGACGGATGCTGTGGCGGTGCCCTTCAGATCTTTGCGATTTAAAATTCTGTGTGACATTGCAACTGTCATGGACAGGCGTATCGTTGAATCGTGAAACACACAGAGAGCGGGTCGGGAGCACACGCTCGCGCTCGGTGTTTTGGCTGGCGTCCGTATAAGTACACGGAATTAGACACGCCTCGGTGCCGACCCGACCCGCGCACGACCCGCACCCGCCCTCTGTGTGTTTCACGATTTTACCACTTCCTAGTCAGCGACAGTCCCGTGACTTGGTTTGGTAATAAAAAAAATTTCCTCCCGCTGACGAGGAAAGAAAACATCGAAATATAACCTGTCTATTCAAGAAGGTTCACAGCGCTTGGAAAAAGTGTGAGGTTCCCAAAATGCTAGTGCGGCGTACTATGGTCTAAATTCTCTACTTGTGGAGACCCGCGGTTAGCAGTGCGACTGAAACTTTATCACATAATGGGATACAACGTTTGCTTATTATATTGTTATTATATATTATATATAGTATTTATATTTGAATTATATTAATACAAGTATGCATATTTGTTTACTTAATTTGTAAGTATAATATATTTTTGACTTTTGGGTTTTAGTTTCCAACTTAGATCAGACTGTCCTGCATATTAATAAGGAACAATTCAGCTTGATCCCCATAAAGGACATTATACACAATCAATTACACACGAACTCAGATCGAATCGAGAGTAGGTCATAAATTCTATGGGATTCGCTGTAATACTAGAGATGTGACAAAATACTTTAAAATATAAAAACGACCTACATTTGTTTTCTATTTCGATCAGAATAAATACAATCAGCTTGTGACAGCAATGTCATAGATAACTTTTCCCTATATTATAAATTATAATTTTATGAATCATTTAGCAAAAGTTACAACTAACTCGCACGAAGACTACATAACAACAAAATATTACAAGTTGCATACTAGAACAAATTAAATGTCAAGCAAAAGATAAGCCAGTGTACAATATTTTTTTTTATAATAGGTGATGGGACAATAAAGTCGTGCGCCTGATGGTAAACGACACGCCTGTCCATAAGATAGATAGATAGATTAAACGTTTATCATAACAGTTGCAGTGCCACTCAGAGCTTTAAATCGCAAAGATCTGAGGTGCACTGCCTCTGCGCCCATCACCCTGAGACATAAGTTGAAAAAGTTGCCATGTGCCTGTAATTTCACCAGCACCTTTAACCTTCAAAACCGGAACGCAGTAATGCTCACATTACTGCTTGGCGGCAGAAATAGGTAAGGTGGCAGTACTTCCCTGGATGAACTCTTTCACAAGGAGCTCTACTGCTAGTAAGTACAGGTTACCTCATTTCTAGATAATAAATAAAATAAAACAAAGCAGGATTTTCTTTTTCAAGTACTGTTAGCATTACGTTTGTTCAATAATATCTGCGAATTTATAACTCAAACAACCAAATTCAGTCAGCGAAAGAACTATAAAACTGTTTTTTAAATTTACAGCACATCTTTTGATTATGAAAATAGATAATGTGTTTAGTGTAGTAAATTAAATTGCAGTATACTTGCAGGATTTATGTTGAAGTATGTAATAACTTTAGGAACTTTTGTGTATTACATCATGAAATAAATGATATGACTATGACTGTTTCATGGTATCAAGTGACGAGACGAGCAAATCACGTGTTTGGTGGCAAGCGACGAGCCTATTCATATAACTTGCAGTGCCATTCAGTGCTTTTAAATCACTGACAGCTGAGGGGCTATAAAGGTGTGTGAAAATCCCATGTGTCTATATAACACAGTAACGGTCACATTACTGTTTGGTGTCAGTAACAGGACAGTGGTAGTACTTTCTTGAACGAACTCTTTCCATGACTAACCAATGAAAACATGAAAATATCAAGTGAGGGGACAAGCAAGTGTGCGCCTGGATGTAAACAACAGACCTGTCCATAATATTTGCAGTGCCGCTCACAGCTTTAAATTTTCAAAGATCTGAGGGGCACTGCTTCTGCACCCGTCATCCTGAGACATGAGTTGAAAAGTCCCATGGGTCTGTAATTTATCAAGTGTCTAAATTTGATAATAAATGCGTTTTATACCCAAAATTAAATGTTAGATATGCGAGGAAGGACGCATGTCACAGCTCTAACCGGTCGGTCCGAAGGGATCAGAATATGCCATTTATCTTTCGTACAAGACAGGGCACGGCAGTTATTTCCGAACACCACTTATGCGATAGAAATGACACCTTTACATTATTAGTTTTGCTTCCTCATGGACCCGAGGGTGTACGAATTTATGGATTGCAATGGCCATTGGAACTTCGTTTTAGTAATCCAATATCCTAAACTATAGTCCTTTATTGGAACGGCGTTTACGATTTGAAAATTATTTGAAATCGTAAACGCCGTGTTATATTTATTTTACGTGTCTGCTACGTCTGTGGTACAAACGAAAGGGTGCACGAAAAGGCAATCGGCGAGTATCTTACGTCGGTTGAAAAATCCTTTCACCACGATGGCAAGCATTAGGGCGCATTTATTCGATACGAATTTCGTCGCGCTCACCCCGCGCGGCCGTCGAAAAGCGGAGTCCGCGCTGCCGCCGCGCAGCGACCGCGTGGTTTGGCAAAATACGCTCTATTTGTTTAGCTTTTACGTTTTAACTTAAATCAGCGTCTCGGATACGCGGGCGAGTCAGACTGGAATTTGGTCTACGCGGCGGCTGTATTATTCAGAGGAATTTAAATATTGTTGCCTAGTAAATGGAACTCAGATTCGCCATTGTAACTTATGTAATTAATGTAACTGGGCGCTTATACTGTATGCCATCGATACAACAAGAAAAAGATAGTCTAAATTGTAACAGCTGTAGTGAAATGATTTGGCAATCGGCGTAAGGTACTTGCTGATAGTTGCCCAGGATGCGCCTGACGTGCTGGAAAGAAAAGTGCGGGGAGCCTCCTTCTGTGCACTCTACTCTACATTGCTCTACATATACTCCACTAGTTTGTTAATACGATTGATACAAAGATCGAAAAAGCACAAAGAAAAATTCCTTCGATCCGACTGGGCACGAACCAGTGTCTGTTGCGTCACCGTGGTAATTTTGTGTTATTAATTTTGTACTCTTGTACTATTAAATTTAAAGGTTACCTGGTAACATCGAGTATATAACCAGAAATAAAGACGAAATGTCATTTAATTTGTTTGAAAACTATTCTGCCTGCCATATCATTACTGTGACGACTGTGCTCCGATTGGCCAGCCCGGATTCGAAACAATTGACGGGTGTCGTCAATTCTTTGACTTCAAAATGACCAGTTTAACTTGAACTTTGCTATAATTGACGAAAATTGCAAAATTATATATTTAATATTTAATTACCGATTAAATGTGATTCCGTTTGTTTTGTAATTAGATGGTTTGCTGTTTGCACACCACCGAATGGAACATTCCCCATTGTTAGAGAATTATCTTTATTACAATAAATAAATAAATAATATTTTTGGAATATACGAAGACGTACACACAGGTCACTTGTTGGCGCTGTACTATTTAAGTTTTCTTATTTTTTGATTTCAGCGCTAACGACTGTTGATATTTAAAAGTGATATAAGGCCCATTTACCTGATGAGTTGCCAGGGAGGGATGGCCTCTCTATTTCTGGTTATAATTATACTCGATGCCCGGTAAAAAGTGTCGCTTAACAATAAGGTTTGATAACTTTGTTAGTTGAAAAACTTTCATAGGTTTCTCGTAAGTGGCGTTACGGCAAAAAAGTCGTTAATACCAAAAACAATGATTTGCAACAAGCATCTGGAGAGATTCGTGAGGTCTGTTGATGTTCCATATCTCAGTTGAGCTCGAATCGGAGAGCAGCTCGAATCGGAGAGCGGTTCGAATCCAGTTGGAACAAAGGAATTTCTAATTTTGTTTCTTTGTATAAAAAATATATGAATATCATGGTAGTAAAAAAATATACGGTATTCAATTAAATAAATTTTAAATACGGTTGGATTTTTTGGACTTATGAATAATAAACACTGGCTTTGCTACAAAAAATGTAAATTTACAAGTATTTCTTATTGCCCCCTGGAATAAAAGACAGGGGAACTTTATGTTTTTGCGACAGAGCTTTATGCTTTTTAAAAATTAGTTCGAATGATTGAACTTACAATGGATTAAATTTTCATCTTGTTACTTTATGTCCATTTGATTCTCTTTTATAATTGTTACTGCGGTTTTAATAAATTACGCACGGGTACAGAAATTAAATAAAGGGAAATAGGGGCGTCCCAGACCACTGCACTGGACGAGTCCGTTATGGATCGCATAGTGTGAATATAGCTTTTTCATTATTATTATTTTCCTAGGGTCATGGTTTTTAAAAATCTATTGATAATAACATCTGTTGTTATTATGGTACATAGGTCAAACAAACACAAAGACATATTCGCCATACCTATTGCGGGATTTTTACTTTGATAAATCAATAAAAATAACAAATTAATAAAGTGTCTTCACAAAAAATATACGAATATCAAAAACATCACGATGTTCAATACAATTAATAAGTTATTGTTACCTTTTGTCATTAAAAATGTTCATGAAGTTACAGCATATTGTACGGAAGTTTACGAGATTTAGAACTACGTAGATCAAAACTTTGTCCTAATTTGTTCTATTTTTGTTTTACAGTGAATCGGAGGGGAGGTATGTGGGGCGGGGGTGCGCAGTGCATGCACGCCTCGTTGCCGCGTGGGGCGCACGCCCAGCCTGCGCCCACGCTCAGCGGCGCCATCGCAAGCCGCCGCCCGCCCAGGTATACATAACAGTAATAATTATAGTATTAAATCATTCCATAATACCATTTCATAATACATATCATGGGTAGGCGGTCTACAGTCCGACTAAATTATTTAATTTATTTATCGATTTTTAGTCACCTCGGCAAAGCCTAGAGTACAATTGTTGTAGCTTTGATGTCGATATTTTACTTATATTTTTATTGTACCCGACATATTGTTAACATACAAAAGATGTATGTTGCAAGTTTGTTTTCTGAATTAATCTGGACTAACAATACGCGTAGTAGAAGTATGTTTCTTTTCTTTTTGTTCTAAAATTATTTTTAGTATGTAGTAAGGTACATCACTATATTGGAATAAAACAATCTTGAGAGCATGTATCTTTACTACGTCTGCATGGTAATAATAATAATAATAATAATAATAATAATAATATTTATTTTCAAAAAAATTTTTACAACAACATAAATATAAAGTAAGGATTATTACAATACAGGATGAGATCCCTGACTCTCAAAGTATGGTAACCGGTGACATGAGAGCCAACGGTATAAGTACTTCGAGTTAAAGCCTACTATACTATACTAATTTTCATGGTTTTATTGGTTCTCCGTACAAACTATCATCCCCTAGTTCACCCCTTTTAAGGCTTAAATAGGATTGCTCTAAGAACTCATAGTAGGCCCCCTGAACTCTGTCTGTTGTAAAGTAACTACTTTCGCATTTATAATATTAATTTGTATGTTGCAATGTAGTTTCGACTTTAGGATCACAAGGTATAACTTAGCTCTCTTTAAATTTCAGGCCCACTCCTCCCTCTCCGACATTGGTAGCCCAAATTAACTCATCAGTAGCGTGCCTATGGTTGCTGACGCCAATATCAGCTGGTACTGCCGTGGTTGCAGTTCTAGTTGCTGTATCAACCAATAACTGGTTACATACTGAAGAGAATATGCTCAGTTCGTCGTTCAACGGAACTGGGAAACACACTCTTGTTGCTAAGCACACAATATCCGGACTTTGGAGGATTTGTCACACGGATCGTAAGTATAATAATGATATATATTTTTTTTCCGTTATCTTGACCATTTTTGATGCCGCTCGCTAAGTATGACTGGTCGGATGACTGATTGACGGACGCAGACTGAATGTCAGTGGATTAAGCTCAATTTGCATTACCGCGGAACGGAATGTTAGTGGGTTTTTGTAACGAAATTGTACATACACCAAACTGTCTGTTGCGTCCGGCCATACCGACGACACTGCTGTAGGTATCTGTCACACGCAGAAGTCTGAGGGGATAGGGGAGTACATCGAATATTCCCTGGGGGTTAATCGGTTGAAGTTTCGCCACAACGTCGTGGTGGTGAAATTGCCGACCGATGGTCTGTCGACCTTGATGAAGGAGGAGTTTCGGTCGATGGGTCTCGTATATCACCGATTCCGAGGCCGGATTGACACCAAATTGCGCTTCACGTCACCAACAAGTGCAAGTCATGTAGATTAGATACTGCGTTTTTATATTATATTAATGTCTTAAAGGCACATATTATACGGGTCATAGTTGGTTGATATAAAATAAATAAAAATACTGAACTTTATTGAACTATCATTATGTAACGTACAAACTACATACGTTAGCTGCAAGAAATCCTGAGCTAGAATTCTCCGGAAGATGCACGACCTACGTGTAGTAGCAGAAGAACTCCTTGTAAAAGAGTTCGTTCAGTGAGGTACTGCTATCTTACCTATTTCTGCCGCCTAGCAGTAATGTGAGCATTACTGTGTTACGGTTTTTAAGGGTAAGGGTGCTGGTGAAATTACAGGCACATTGGAATTGTCAACTCTGGTCTCATAGTGACCAGTGGCAGTGCTCCTCAATTCTTTGCGATTTAAAGCTATGAGTGGCACTGCAACTGTTGTAGGCAGACACACGCCCGTGGTTACCATCAGGTCCTGTCACTTGGTATTATAAAATAAAAATAAAAATACCATATTTGACTCGTATATAGTTTGTATGTTACACAAATGACATAAAATTTTGCTACAAAAAATCGCTTCAATTCTATTACGAATCAACGTAAATTGAGAGTTAATGTTGTTTTGTTTAGCTAATTGTGTCGCTTGAACAACTTGATAAGACTGGTCTAAGCTTTGATTTGGACCCTTTTCGCATTGTATAGAGACATTTGTATATAATCCTTAAATACATTTACAAGGTACAAAAGGTTTTATTGCTAAGTAGCAATCTCTGTCACGTACCGCAGAATATTACATGGCTGAGTAAAACTATGTGATAGGTGGAAGTCGCAACTTTTAATACAACAATTTCTTAGTACATTTAAGAATACCAAGTGAAGGGACCGATAAGTCGTGCGCCTGTCTGTCCATCCGTAGCAGTTGCAATGCTACTCAGAGCTTTAAATCGCCAAGGTCTGAAGGAAACTGTTGCAGTCGACCGTCACTCTGAGACAAAAGTTGACAAGTCTGTAATAAATGTGCCTGTAATTTCACCATTGATGAAAGAGAAATTTTATTAATTTTTTATTTTGTAAACTTTTCCTTTCCAAGCTCTACTTTTTCATTTAAATTTTTAATTTTAATTGGAAGAAATCCCTTAATTATATTGCTTGCTTTTGTACATTTCTGTAATAAATATTAGACAACATCATATACAGGAAATGAAACTATTTTCCGGATTTAAATCGCGCATATTTATTTTTTCAAACACACCAACGTTTCGGGCCCTTTACAGGTCCTATGGTCAATTGGTTACGGTTGACTGACCACGTAAAAAAAATTATGCTATTTAAATTCAGTAAAATAGTTTCATTTCCTATGAGTAACAATCGCGAAGAAAGAACTCGAAACATCACATACGTTGTTCTGAGTTTGGGGCTTTGACCCCAAAGTAAGTAGCTAAAGCACTTGTGTTATGGAATTCAGAAACAACGATGGTACCATATACACAAAAAATCTGAGACAATATATAGAAAAGTTAGTTTTTGTACAAGGACCCGACTGGGGATCCAACACGAAACCATTACATTCGACCACGGAGGTCGACATTAACATTTTAAATTGTTACATTTGCATTGAAATGAAAAGTAAAAATTTATGTTTCTCTGATTTTTTACACCTTTCACCTTATCACTTAATAATAAATCAACAAATTGACTTAACAAAATTAAAAAAAAAAACAAAGTTGCATTAGACACGAATCGCTTAGCGGTAGACTTTTACTTTAATTCTATGATGTTCTAAGTACACCATCACACAGATTCGTAAATGATATACGTATTACGCATAAACGTAACATACCTAGTGGTACGGTTAGTATAGTTTTTGTGTCGTTGCGAGAGTATAATGCATTTCCCAGCCGGCGCTGGCTGACGGCGGAAACGACAGCGCAGTGTGCCATACCGCGCGGAAACATCGTCCACTACCTATTGTTGTAGCTATGAATAGGTTTTGTGTATAGCTGTTTTTAGTGATGCTATTCTGATTGTACTGTCTATCCTATTCATTTTCATAATATGGTGACAGAGATGTAATGTAAAGAAACAATAGCCCCTTGTGAAAGAGTTGTCCAGGGAATTGTTGCCGTTATTTTTGCCACAAAATGCTTACATTACTACTTTATGGTTTTGAAGGGCAAGAGTTGGTTCGATGCGACCTTATTCATCGTCATCTCCCTTTTTATCACCCTTTTTACTGGTTCCTGGCCACTTATTTTTAAAATTTTGAATCGTTCTCGAATTCCTTTTCTTTCATTATTCTTACGTTGGTTCATTCCGTCACCGCTCTCATCGAAATTCTCGAAGCGAGAGAACGTATTTGTCATCATGTAAAACTCCAACTCCACTTAAACAGTTTTTAAAGCATTAGATATAGACCCTCTTGGGATAAGTACCTGGACTTTCGACTGTTTAGTGCCAGTAGGGAGTGTTTTATATTGTTTGTACCTTTTTTATATCATTGTATTATTTTGTCACGGCCTTTATTTTCTTCTTCCAATAAATTTATGTGGACCGAGCCTTCTCTTTTATTGTAACTAAGGCTAGGCTACAGATTGGTGATGAAATGACCATTTAACGCCTAGGGATCTCGTCAGAGCTGATGAAGACTGACGAGATTACAATCGTCAGATTGAATGCCTCGCCTACACTGTGCTATAAGTATGTTCCTCGGAGTCCCAAAGATATGATAAGAAATGAAAATTATGGAAATATTTGTAGGAGTATTATGACAAGTAATAACGTGTCAATCAACATGATCATAGTTATGCGAAAATGGCATCTAAAGATTTTTCGCTATTTTTAATAGTATTTTTGATAAATTTATTTATATAACTTATATATATAACTTTTGCTATGCTTGTTTGTTGTTGAGGAATTATAGTTAATAAACCACAACAATTTATCATTCCTGAGGGGACAACAACAAAAAATCTTATTTTACAAGGGTATTTTAGAACAAATTATCAAAAACAACGAAAAAACGTTTTGGTGCCATTTTCGTTAAACTGTGATCATATTATAGGCACGTATTGTTTATCAGAATCCATTTATTATTATTTATTACTTATTTCTGCCTTCAAGCAGTAATGTGAGCATTCAGTTTTGAAGGATAAAGATGTAACTCCAGGCACATGGAGTTTGTCAATTATGTCTCAAAGGGACTAACGCAGTAGCAATGCCCCTCAGATCTTTGCGATTTTAAGTTCTGAGTGGCACTACTATTGTTATGGGTTTACGCTTACCACCAGGCGCACGACTTATTCATACTTGCATTGCCTAATACCATGAAAAAGAGAAAACATTACTAATCACATACTTTTAACACTCTAGTACCCTGAGAACATTAAGCGTAAGATAATTGTGTTCCTAATTGAAAATCTTTCGAATTTTCAGCCGGCAGTACAGTGTATCGTTGTTGGGATATCCCGTATTTTCCACTATCGCAATACACGCCGGACCCTATTGATTCTACAAATGCAATACCATGTAAGTTTACCTTGATCTATAACGCCATCAAGTCATCATTACCATAGCCTATGTGCATGTTCAAATATTTCATCATTCAGTGCCCATTGCATTTGTAACACAGACATACTTATCCAGTTCAAGATGAACCAAATATTCAGTAGAGATTTGCATTTCTTTTTTAATTTTCCTTCACTAAAAATAAATTGTAAATTAATAATCAGGTAATCAGAACTATGCCATCAATCAAAACAAGGGTTTGGGAAACTCTACTTTTTTTAATGTCGAGGGTTGTTTGTACTAGGAAACACTTCTTAATCAGATTGGAGGGTATAAATATCATTTATATTTTTTTAGATGTTGTGACGAGGTCGGCGGCTCCATTACTTCTTGCGGTGCTAACACAAGCGGTAGGCGCTCTGTGCTGCGTGCTTGGTCACTGCGTCAAAGGTCGTCGACTGTGCACGTTCATTGCAGGGGTGCTCTTCATTATTTCTGGTAAGAAGTTTTCTTCGTTGAATTTATTTGGCACCAATTAATGAAGAGAATTGGCTATTATCCATTTAATTTGTATGTTTTTTTTCCATTTCCAGGTCTCATCATGCTGACTGGAATCGTCATGTACATATCTGTATTCAAGTCACAAGTAGGGCATAAGCTGCGCTACATGACCTTGTTCAACACTCCAAGAATGTCGTACAGCTACGGTTACTCTTTCGGTCTTTACCTCAGCGGATTTATTGCCGTCGAATTAGCAGGCACGTCTGCTATTTTCCTCTTTCTTCAATGGTACCAAAAAGACTGGATCACAGAGCTGACTGAGAAAGCTAAAGCGGACTGTCGTGCTTGGGATCGCGAATATGCGTTCTCAGAATTCAGAGAACGAGATTCCACGCTACTAGAAAGGAGGATGATGAAAAGGGATACGTATCCACCAACAGGCTCCTCTGCAGCTACTCCACATGAGACTCGCCGATTCGTTTACGAGGGCGATAATGTGCCACATTGTTCTATTCATAAAAATAGAAGAATAAATTTGAGTTCCGGATCGCTAAAAGACTTATCGTCGTCAACATTATATGGGTTTCCTGCGGCACCTAGACCGACCGCTTGTGATAATTACTTTGAGGAGTTCAAAGAGGTTCCTCAAAGCGCTAACACACTTAGTGGTCTAAGAAGCGCATCTATATTTCAATCGCAGGCGTCAATGGCGAGCGGCAGATTTTTGGATTCAAATGCAGTGGAGCCGCCACCTTCACGTGAAGAAGAATTGGTTACATTTGGTGCTGGTGCAAGGTGTATTACAAACGAGGAACCGCCACCGCGTCACGACCGCGCCGTGGGCACCGACCCTTATCGTAGGACCACGCCCGTCTGATGTGAAATCCCTGGGTCCCAAACCCGCACCATAAAGCATATCGACAAGTGATAGTGAAGACTCTCTCCGTGATGAGTTAGCATTGGTCTATCCGTTGACCCATTATCTTAATACAATATAGGGCCACGGTGTTGTGGAGAAAAGTGCGAACTGTCAATATGACTTTCGAATTTAACTTTAGTAGGTATGTACCACTTACGTGAAAACAGTGTTATTAAATTTTTCGACTGTTACATTTCCTTTAGTAATAAAACACTGCCAGTCGTTTACACTATGTGTTTTATTTTATATCAAGGAAAATAGAGTAAAAGAGTCATTGCATAAAAAACATGTTTAAAAACTATCTCTACTCAGCACGGTAGTATCATCATACTGTACAGGCTCTAAATAAGCAGCAAGGTTGGTTTTGTCCGCGATGGCAGCAAGTAAACAAAACCGTTTCGAGCACTTGAACAACAATACTTCACTCTGCTTTCACATACAAACAGTCGACTCACACCACTTAACGCCTGGGGATGACTTGAATGAATGAATGAAATATTCTTTATTGCACATAAAAAATACCATAACAGTACAGAACAGTAATGTGAGTATCACAGAATAAATAAAGTACAATATCTATGGACTTAGGACACAAATTTAAGAGTTGGAAAGTGGACTTGATGCAGAATGACGAGACCAAACACATCAGATTGAATTCCTCTCCTACTCTATTCTTTAAGTATAATAGTCTCAAAGATTTGATAACAAATTAAAGTAATAGAAATCTTTCTAGAAATGTTGAATATTTCAACGATGTGACCATAATTATTTATTTTTGCAGTTATTTATTAAATAAATAAAAATAAAAAGACATTTATTTCTCCACAAAACGCAGAAATCACAATAATGGCAGACTAATATACAATACGACTAAGTGACGGGAATAAAAAGTTTAAGGACTTAGTATTGCTAATTTTCAGTCTTCACCAATAGCTAGTAGCTGTAGCTGCACTAGCCTGGAGTGCGGAGTATATTTTTTTTAATTGATTTTTTATTTTATTAAAGGACCAATATTAACAAACCAGCGGACAGTCCCATATCTTTCTACATAAGTTTTGTTTATAGTGTCCCTCCCTATCAACCTCTTGGTTATGCGAGAAGGGCACTATGACCTGTGCAAGCAGCCAACCAGCGGATAATAATTATAACATCAGGAAAGTGCTAAATAGTATATTTAAATATAATTCACAATGAGGTAAATTAATGTAAAGCTCGCTGACAACGACTGACAAAGGTTTAAATTATTTGTCGCTGTCAGCGAGCCACTGCACCAGCCAGTTGCCAACATCCAAGCTGATGTACTTACATTCTAAGTAATATGTACAAGTTTAAAAGCGTGTAAAGTTACTTTTTTTATTTAAGTTGAAACAGCAGCACTGGAACACCTTGTGAGAGCTCGTCCGCTATAGCTACTTCTACCGTCAAACAGTATGAGCTTCGTTGCAGGGGGTCTACGCTCGATCTCCGTCCGACATCCGTCCGAAACAATTACTGTCAAATAAGCAATACTCGACCAAATGAAAAGACGCGTGATGCGAATGAAGCTTCATACTTGATACCTGTCTTTTAATTTGGTCGAATATTACTTATTTGACAGTAATTGTATCGGACGGATGTCGGACGGAGATCGAGAGTAGACCCCCAGACGCAGTCACGTAGAATCGTATTTCGTCGTAGACCTCCTGGTGTAAACGCGCCATAAGAGTGTTTACGCACAACGTCCGATTCGTATTAGTTCCGAATCCTGGAAATGACAGTCCGAAATGTCACAGGGATCATTTTATCTCTAGGTTATCATTATATATACATTTTATCAAGCGATATTCGTATTTTCTCGGATTTGAATCGGACTTAGTGCACAAGCGACATCCGAAGTTGGTCCGAGTATTAGATTTGTATAGTTTCATACGAATCGGGTGCAGTGTGAAAAGGCGCTAAGGGTGTTGGTGAAGCTACAGGCACATATTTGTCAACTCTATCGTACTCTCTGGCGTACAACTTGACAAATTTGTCAACAATTGTAACTGTCCCAATATTTATAAGGTATTTGGTTGAATAATCATAATTTATAATTTTTGATTTTCGTAAATATTAATTACTTCGTAGGTCGTAAATACTTACTTTTGAGCATCAAATTTGATAAACCCACGTGATAACGTTTACATCACACGGATTCATGTATAACTATAACTGTTGTGTGTGTCAAGTTATAGTTATACTTGTATCAGACTTAGTATTCTGATATATAATAAAACTTAATTAAATATAATAAAACTTAAATAAACTAATTAAATTTATTTTACTATTTAAATTTTTATTGAATTGATATTCAATTATTTTTATTATGTGAAATTACTCCACTAGTTTGTTATAATGATTAATACAAAGATCGAACTCTCAGAAAATCATAGATGGTGCTACGGCTGAATAAGTCGTTGAAAAAAACTAATTAAAAAAAATTCGTTCCGTGGCTTAGTTGGCATAGCGTCTGGAATGGTATGCTGGAAGACGTCGGTTCGAATCCGGCCGGATCGAAGGAATTTTTTCTAACTGTTCGATCTTTGTATTATTAATTATAAAAAAACTAGTGGAGTAATTACCACATAAAAAATAATTGAATATCAATTCAATAACAATTGTAATGTAAAAATATAGTAGTTGTAATAATAATACAATATTTCTCCTATTTATAATAATTGTTTATTTATATCGCATAATTCCTAGCCTCTCTTTCTCATTCTTCCCAATCCCGTTTCCAAATATCATTATATGGTTTCCCCCACAGACCACATAAATGTTTCCTCGTACAAAAAATCAATCAAATTTAAAAAATATAAAAAAGTCTAGGTTATATGATATGTATAAACATACTTGACTAGACTGCATGGTGGTAAGATCTTTGTCTTTCCACAAGGAAAATTACTTATTATAATATCAATAATTTCAACAACTCGACTGTTATTTTTTATTCTCTTACTTAATTTGTTTTTCTCTTTAGGAATATAATAATTATAAATAGTAAACGGACGGCTCCTGGGCCAACGCAAAATGGAATGTATTGTGCAACAAATAAAGAGACTTTGCCAGGGGCTTTACGTTAATTCCCCAACTATGGATAAAGATCATTGGTAAACACTCAATATTATATGCCTGTCTAGTTCATTCCCAATAGGCATAGACTGTCACGTCTGTCCACGGTACTACGGTATCTTAGACTATTCCTTTATTTTATTCCATCCTCTAAGTACGGTACTGACACTCTTTGACAATTAATAGTGTTTTGTTTGGAACTATTTGGAACATTTAATAGTTGCCGTTAATGTTCTTGTCTATAGATTTAAGTTCTTTTGATTGGATAAGATTTTATGAATCTTGAGATTTGGTTTCCATAGTCTAAAGTTTGAAGTGTGGCCCAAAGACAGCTGTTGTCACGAAACATGTAAAGCGAGTAGGTGCCGCAAAATCTATATTATTGTCTAAAGCTCGTAGCCACCTCGATTTGTACAATCAATGCCAATTGCACTTTTTGAAGCTAAAGTCGACTGTTAAAATACAAACTTGAAAAACTTCCTAAAAGAAATATAAGTAAAATAAAATGGAAGAAGCACCGACTACAAATGAAGACCCACTAAGCACAACTATAACAACTATGCCAACGATTCCAGGTGATCTGTAAGTACTACTATTTTCTGTAGTTTAAAATTTCACATCAACTTTAAATCATCTACAACTGGACAGAAGCCTTCCTCAAAGCCACCTTAACAAAATGTATACCAAAAATTTACACATAATCATATGATCACTTTTTGATTAAGCACTTCGAACTGGTGAAAGTAGCTCCTTGTGAAAGAGTACAGCGTAGTACTGCCTCCTTACTTATTCCTGCCGCCCAGCAGTAATGTCAGCATTACTGTGTTCCGGTTTTGAAGGGTTATGGGTGCTGGTGCAATTACAGGCACATGTAACTTGTCAACTTATGTCTCAGGGTGACGGGTCAGTGGCAGTGCCCCTCAGATCTTTGCGACTTAAAGCCGAGTCCGAGCCGAATCCGAGTGGCATTGCAACTGCTATCGACAGGCGTGTCACTTACCATCAGGCGCACGACTTGTTCCACCACTTGGTATCGCAAAAAACGCGTTGTTTTGGTAATAAACTAGTTTTATGGAGCTTAAAATTTTAACGTAAAACAAGATTATGACTAATTACAGGTTTCTAACCAAAGTATGAGAACTTTTTTTGATATAATCAACCCGTGACCATAGAGCGTGTCATCTGCATCATCAAACTTAAGAGTTACACTCTTGCCGCTGGAGCAACTTCCAGTCATCTGTCTTATAATCCAAGATCCTTGCCCTCCTTATACACCGACCGTTTCCTTTTTTGGTCTTATGAAGCATGTAAACGTTACAAAATATCTGGAAAATAAAAAGAAATTAGACAAGTAAGTAAGTAGTAAGAAAAGAATTCTTATCGTATCGATGGCATACACGGCGTCCGTGCATCACTAAGATGCTCGTTCGTCCTAGCTGTAAAACAAATTTCTTTTTTAACTCCTTTTCTTCTCGTGCAGCGCAGTTGTGGAACAGACTTCCTTCCCATATCCAGTATAGCCCGTCTATCGCTTCTTTCAAGAAAAGGTTAGAAGCGCACTTTCTTGCTGAAATCTCTTTGTAATCATCTTGTTTTTTTTTTACATACTTATTTATGTATATATAGGTATACCTATGTGTATATATTTATGTGATATTATACTATATACATATCGATGCTATTTGTTATGATTCATTATAATGCTTATGTAAGTAAAGGTATTTTTTTTTATTCATGTAGTTTGTTACTTATATTTTTTCTCATTCTCTCTTGCACTCTATTGCCCGCTTATAACCTTAGCTTTCACTGCCCTGGATTGGTTAGAAGATATAAGTTCACCTTGCTCACTTTCTCTTAATTTAATATTTCTGTTGCATTTATTTGGTGCAATAAAGAAAATAATATAAACTATAATGCTTGCCATTGTGGTGTCAGGATTTGCCAATCGGCGTAAGGCACTCGCCGATTATTGCCTAGGCTACGCTAGACGTACTGGAAGGGAATGTATGTCATGCGAGTCTCTTTTCGTGCATCTCTGTAAAGAACCTGTAATTAGTGATAATCATTTAGTGAGTAACAGGAAAAACATATTACAATTCTTTCATTTTGTCTATTTACATTTATCGAAGTATAGCATGCGAGGCTTTCTTGGCATTAACTCAATTTGAGATATCGACGAACGGAATGACGTGGCCGTTTTTAATTACACATACAAGAAATTTTAAAGTAGCAAAAACACCATTACATTACATAATACAATTGTACAGGTCGTAATTAGTGATAATCATTTTGTGAATAACAAGGAAAAGGTATTAACTTGGTTAATTTACGTTTATTGAAGCGCAGGGAGCGAAGCTTTCTTGACATCAACTCAATTTGAAAAATCGACGAACGGAATGACTTGGCCGTTTCTCATTAGTCATGCAAGAAATTTGAAAGTAGCAAATACAATTACATTATGTAATACAATTCTACAGGTCGTAATTAGTTATAATCATTTTGTGAATAACAGAAAAAAGTTATTAACTTGGTTACACTTTTACATTTATCGAAGCGCAGCGAGCGAAGCTTTCTTGGCATCAACTCAAGTTGAGTTATCGACGACCGGAATTAATTACTCGGCCATTCCACATACGATATGCTTGAAAATTAAAACAAGCATAAATAAAATTACATTAAATTATACAATTGTTCAGGTCATGACTAAACTCTAATCTTGAATTTCGATCACTGACTGGAGATAATTAAGGTCAAACGTCAATATGTTAAGTGTATGTTAAAACTATTCAATTGTAACATTTTGTGCAAAATTCAAAAGTGAAAAAGGAAAAATAAAAAATGTAATATTGCTTTTTTTTAAATTGGTTCAAACCCTACCTCGCACCTTTGAGTTATTCAGAATTTATGTGCGAAATTTCATTTGAAAGCTTTTTGGTGAAGGAAGACATCGTAATCAAACCCGCACGTCGAAGAAGGTTTACAACCCGCGGAAAACGTGTGAAGTTTCCAACCCGCATTAGGCCAACGTGACGGACGATGGCTCAAACCCTCGCATGAAAAGTGACCCGTGCCTAGCGGTTGGACGTATAATAGGTTGATGATGTTACGATGTTTTATAAAAATATAAATAATCATCTTTTAAAGGGATAACGATAATACAGATACACCGGTAAAGCTTGTACAAAAGCTAAGACTCTTTTTCACAAATCACTGGAGAGGTCTGATCGCCACTTTATTGCCCATAATTTTGCTGCCTATTGTAGTGCCGCCGCCGACTGAGGTAAGAATGATATATACATGTACTATGCTAGTGAATTATTAACCGACTTCAAAAAAGGCGAAGTTCTCAATTCGACTGTTTTTTTTATGTGTGTATGTTACATGATTACTCTTATTTGTGAACCGATTTTGATGATTGTTTTGTTTGCTGAAAAGAGGGTACCTCAGTATTGGTTCCATTTAAATTTGAAGAAAATATTCCACCTCTAAGGGTGGCAAAATAGGGATGAATCCAGATTCGCGCTCTTTTCGGAAACTAATTTCAATAAAACTTGGTAAATGGATACCACGAACTTTTGAGGTTGGTTTTAGAATGAATCGCAACTCTGAGAATTCTTCTATAATAAATTTGGCACCATCTTTGTGTCTGTAATGTCAATTACTTATAGTATTTGTAGCTGTGGTGATGGTTACAATACAGATGCTGTCGCTTATGTATGTCCATGCAAGTCACTATTCATCTATAAAGGCTACTGCATTCCACATTATGTCATGGTGCAGGATTTATTTATCGAATTCGAAGACCAACACCTTAAAACCGAATTAAATTATAAAAAATGACTAAGAGATAATTACAGATCCTCACAAATAGATATTATAATAAGGAACCTTAAGTGCCCATTATCTTTCTACATTACTTTTGATTATAGTGACCCTCCCTACCGACCCTTAGGGTATACGAGAATGGCACTATAACCTGTGCGCGCTTATAAGTAAAGATTCTGACCTTAGATCAGCCAGTGTACAGGGTTTTCACAGACTTCTATCACTTGACTTCATCCAATTCTTCGAGAGGCTAGTGCCTAGGGTGAGCCGCCCCAGGTGCACGTACAGTAACCTTCCTATTGTCCGGTACCGGAGCTGTACAGTTTCACTGATCTATTACATAAAAAGATATCCGCATTCGTTATATATCTCTGATACATAGTGAGGCCACTATGAGTCAAAGAAGTGCTTACTCAGTGCTTTCCTTACTAAATTACATTCGTATTAAAAAGATCCAGATCAAAAGTTAAAATAATTGCCTGTATTCTACATATAGTCATTTTAAGATTAAATTTCTTTAATTAAATTAAATAAGGAGTAAATTTCTTTATTGATTTTACTTACATTGAAATAATACAACATTGTTAATAATCTCCTTTGTATGATTAGTGAGTAACAGTTTAAGTTAGGTTTTAGCATATGTTTTTGACCCTGAAATGCTTTTATAAATTCTTTATTTGTTTTTGTATTATACTAATGTTATAGTCGTCACCAAATAAGAGGCCAAATTTGTCATCACGACGTGAATAGGCATGTGAACTGATCATATCGGTAACCACATTAAACGATTTTCACGAAAAATCGTTTCAACATTTTATGAGTTTGTTTTATATTATTTTACGGTTCATTGTTTTTCAGTTCTACATAGTACAGGATCAAGAACACGTCAAGCTTGACACTTAAGACTTAAATCCAACTTTATGGCGTTTAAGATAAGAACGGTCCAAAGTACAACCTTGACGTGCTCTTGACTGTACAATTAACATTTATTGAAACATTATACAGATAAATATAAACAATAAGTATTTTAAATGATCATAATGACAACCTGTACTTGTTATCATAGTGTAGTTACATCATCACAAGGACTACCTGCAGTTATATAGCAAAATTCTGAAGTAAAACAAGAGGTGACATAATTAAAATTTTTATTCACTTTTATCGGAAGACAAACCAAAAGCGTCAGTTCAGCTAGTGTCACCAGTATATGTATCAATTCGTTTTTAATCATATTGTCAATATTTACACCGTTATCAAAACCTTTCTTTAGTAATTTTGTCGTTTTTCGAGTGCTCCTGGAAACAAACGGAAATAAAATTTGCATGGCTTTACAGCAACGAGTACGGGACTCGGTAATTTTTTTGTCTTAATATTTAATAAGTAAACATTTCTTCAATGAAATCGAAGTGCCTCGGTGAAATTCGGCGATTAGTTGTTACAACCATTACAACACTATTATTAAAAAAATAGATTGAGGACGTAACTATTTTCAGGATATTTCGGAGTAACTCTAAATTGAATTTTTGTCTGGAATTCGTGTGAAGACAGTACTTGAAACATGTTATGTCATATTTTATAGTGTTTCAATAAAATTTATGTATTTTTTTACTCATTATGAAAGAGATCGATCAGTGTAATACCATGCGTATTTTTGCCACTAATGGGCATTACTGCGCTTTAGCTTTGAAGGGTAAGTAAGATTACTGGTGAAACTGCAGGAATGTGGTGAAAGTTTAGTCTCAGAATGACGGGTGCAATGGCAGCGCATCTCAGCTGTTTGCCAGTTAAAACTCCGAGTGACACTGCAACTGCCACGGGTAGATGTGTTACTTGTTACCATTACTTGATGTGACAAAAAATACTTTTTTAGCAAATGTACTTCAAATATTTTATATTTTCTAGAAATATCAATGGGTTGGCTACACTTTAGTTATAATGGCGGTATACTGGATGACGGAAATAATACCGCTTCCTATCACGTCCTTCATTCCAGTTTTTGTCTTCCCAGTAACTGGAGTGATGAGTACTGCAGAGACTGTTACGTGCTACTTTAATGTAAGTTAAATACATTTCGTGCCGTTTTAATTTTTCCCCTTATCAGCCGAGGTAGCCCATGTGCACATGTGAGCTTTTCGGAATTTATGAAATTATAATTTCCACGGGCTTCTTGGTGAAGGAAAACATCGTAAGGAAACCTGGACACCTCTGGAAAACAATTTAGCGATATGTGTAATGTTCCCTATTCGCAGTGGGCCCGCGTCGTGGGAACTACAGCCCAATTGTAGCGAATCCCAGCAGTCGCTACAAATCTCTTTTGTATATATTTTATAGTCTCTTTAAGTTTTAGTGTTATATTGAAATTCTAAATTTAAATGTGTTTGTTTTTGGCGCCTTTTCTTGACTTTTGTTTTGCTGTTTTGCTTTGAAAACTATACGTGTTTTCTAATAAATTAATACGCTGTAAGTACGTTTGCTTTGGCCTTGCTCACTCGTTGTTAGCACCCACCCTTTAACCCATTGATGCAGTCCACTACACCCAGTGAATATATTGACTAATTTACATGCAAATGAAAATTTGAAAGTGCACATAATACCTACTTAATTTTTTTTCTTTTTTCAAATTAAAAGACACAAGCAATTACTACATTTTAATAATATCTTTATAAAAGTATATTAAAAGCAAAAAGATGTCTCGTTTACTTAGTAAAGTGCAGGCCGAGTGACCAATATAATATAAGTTCATCAGCTGTCTTCTTCTTAGTAGTGTTGATCGATCCATAAACCGTATTTTATATGAAGAGTCAAAATGATCAAAGTCACTTGAGGATAATTTTAGGAAAAAAGAATGTTTAATCTGGAGAACTTTTAAACGTTGGTGAAAAAGAAACGCACAAATACTACCTGAAATAAAATCAATGCTGACATAAATGTATGTAACAGTATGTGATCTATTTTAACTAAAAAATATTTATAAGTCATTTTTAACCTTTCTGCCATTTAGTCGCAAGCATTTTTATGACCAAAAGTAAAAGCTGACCAAATCATGGATAGCGATATTAACTCAAAATGTATTTTAAGTGACTTTAAAAATTCTTTCCCTGGTCTCTTCATAATAAAGAGAGCATTTTATAAAAGTCACCCGTAATGTATTTTCAGTGGCGTCGCAGTGGGCGCTGAACGACGTCCTGGGTTCGATTCCCGAAAGTACCAATTTGGAAAATGAAGCCCAGAGTAAATTCTGTTGCTTTGGTACACTTTGTCTAGGCATTCTGGGCGTTCTGAGATCTTTTTTTTCTTCAAACAAGATTTCGTTTCCAGGAATCAGTCTTTATGTTCATAGGAAGTTTGATGCTAGCGGCTGCTGTTGAACAGTCAGGGTTACATAAACGGCTGGCTCTATATGCCATTCAACTTATTGGCTACTCTCATTACAAGTAAGCAAATTTATTGAGTAAACTTAAATACTATTATGAGACGTATTTCTCGCTACATACGTACAGATACTGAAACAAAAGACAGTTACATTCGTTTCGTCGCTATAAAGTAGAATTTGCAAAGGACCCGCAGAAGATTTCGATTTCTCACTTTCTCATGCTGGTTACCTTACTGATTGGCTGGTTTTAACTCAACTGCAAATCAAATCCGAATAGAATCAAACACAAGTCGAGTTTGCAACTTCAACTGGATTAAGTAACATGGTAATTACGACCTGCGACCACATACAAAACATGATTACACACTTGCACAAGTTCTGTAATTCAAGGATGTGTTACGGTGCACTGATAATACACACAGTGAATTTCCAACACGGTTTTGGAATTATTTACAAAGGTGTTCGATATAATTTTATTATATTTATTATATTATTAATTGTAATGAATATTCTGGCGTTTTACTATCACGGTATTCATTTATTTTTATCTAGTCATATTACTCCACTACCGTCCACTCGGTTCTGTTCGATCGTTCGATCTTTGTATTAACAATTACAACAATTTTATTATATATTTTAAAATACTTGCTACCGAAAGTATATGTGAAATTGTTTAAATTCTATAATGCGCCTGATGATGTGTGGAGGTTCCATATTGTTTGGTGACAATTGTAAGACATCTTGGACGATTGGTGTAACTACGTACAGTATAATATTATGAAATAAATACTAAATAAACCGTATAATAATAAACATATGAACTGTATTTCAGACTGCTTTTCGCAATGTGTTTCGTCACAATGTTCATATCGTTGTGGATAACCAATACCGCGGCCACGACTATGATGGTTCCTATAATTTTTGCCCTTCTCAAAGTATTTGAAGATGTAAGTTTGTATATTTTGTTCAATAATTATAAATAATATATCACAAAACAATCCTCTGTATAGGATGTGTGGGTATGAAAACGAAATATGTACTAATTGTGATGTCTTTAACGGCAGTGTTCCGTCTTTTAAGAGGTCATTTCTTGCATTATTGTAAGGTGATTAACGTATTCCTAATGTCATTGTTTTTTTCTATGTAGGTGTATCTACTTTTGAATGTTGAGCACAGTTATAATCGGACACGGATATTGCCTACAGTATTAATTTTGTATTTTGTAGTGTTATTTTCTACAATTTTTATGCTCGATATCTGTTAGTGTGTCATAAATAAGAAACAAAAAGTAACAAAAAACTCATAAATAAAATAAATGTTATGCGGTTTTATGAAAGACTCAAATATTTTAAAAGGTTTAATGTTTTTTGTATATTTGGCGTTAAGTACTTTATGCCATCGTCACGTTTTCATTATCGTATGTCCCACCAAAGGAATAAATCCCATCCCCTCATCCTTTTTCCAACAATTGTTTATTATTATTACCAAGAACAACCCCTAGAGTTTCGGAGAATCTGAATTACGAATGAGCAGTAGAGTTTAATCAATATGACAATTTCAAATGTAATTTACCTATTTGTAAAATAAAGATCATTTGAGTTCTATTCAGCAGGGCTTTCAAAGGCTAGCAAAACATTGGCAGCTCTTTTAATGTTGCAAATGTCCATGGACAACATGACCACCTCCCACCACTTGTCTTGTCTACTCGTAACCTAAGCAGCTACCTTAAATTGTGAAGAAGCCAATTTTGTTTATTTATTTTGTTTTATTTATGTTGAGTGCGAATTACGTAGGCTGCCGCCGGAGGATTTAAAAAAAACGAAATTTGAATTTAACTAATTTATTAAAAGATAAAAATTACAATATAATTTACTACGTGCTAAAGCTAATGCCTAGGTTCGATGCTAGAAACCGAGTGTCGTGAAAATATTATAAAGTACGCAATCTGGGGGAAACGCTGACGTTGGTCACGTTGCTGCTGCACGTTGCACCGGCACGTTATGCTGACACTGCTTGCACGCGCTGTTGCGATGTGCTTCTAATTTGGGGCGCCGACATACATGATTTCAGCGATATAATTTGCGTTATTATTGTTATTATTATTATTATTACAGCAAAATCTACTGACTATCTACGACACAACCGATGACGGTAGTAAAGTGGCGTCATCCATGACGACGTGCTATTTCTGCGCAGCAACATTTTCTGCAACAATAGGTGGGCAAATCTTCTTCTTCTTATCGTGTCGATGCCATACGCTATATGCTTGCAATAGTGATTTTACTCGCCGATTATTGCCCAGACTGTGCCAGATATACAAGAAAGGAATGGTACGTCATGCGGGGAGGCTGGTTTCATGCAACAAAGGATAGGTAAATGATGATCCAAAAACCGTAACCGTAATCAAAAACCGTAGCTTAGATGTAAAACAAAATTTGTTTTTATTTCTGGATTACGCTAAAAAAACAACTTTTTACGAGGAACGAGCAAACAACAGGTACACTTACAAACAATTAGGCTAAGATAATGAAACTGGAATTACAATTTTTAGTACTTCGTTTGACAGTAAAGTAAATACATAAAATATATGTTAGAGTTGAAGAAAACGAAAAGGGGATTGTGTCAGAAATTATTTGATAATTAGCTTATTCATTTTTGGTTATCAATTCGTTAAGCCGGCAGTGAAGTAATTACGTCATTTGATTGCAATTAATTCGTTTACCCACTTTTCATAGTAATTAGTTCGAAAGTACAACGGATTTTAAATGTCCCGCGGCAAGTTCACAGAGTCTACCACGCTCAGATGGTCACTCTGCAAGTATCTCACACAAAAACCCCTCTTGTGAATGTGCGTTCGTTTATAAAGCATTGACCATTAATGACCATTAACTTCACTCCTTATTTTCATGTAGCAACCCTGCTAACAATCATCATGTCATAGAACCACGTCGGACAACTAGTTAAAATGAACATACTCAATATTACACCATCGCAATCCCCTCTGTGATCTAACCCAGTTTCAGCAGTCAAATTGACGTGACGTTTGTAAACGAAGAAACAATATTCAAACTGGTTAATGCAATTCGAAGATAGCTCAGTAAATCGTTTATCTAATAATTAGAAAGCAACACCCGACATTATTAGCAAAGATTTATTCTTTAGTAAAGCTTCATCATCATCAGCTTACGAGCTTCCACTTCTGGACATTAGTCTCCCCTTGAGCACGCCAACTCGCCCGGTATTGTACCGCCCGTATCTAGCCGCTGCCGTCCACCTTTCTCAGGTCGTCCGTCCATCTTGCCGCAGGGCCTCCCACACTACGTTTTCCTTGAAGTGGTCGCCATTCCAGAAAAATCTGCTCCATCAGCGATTTGATCAAGACTATTTGAATGCTGTGCGATTTATTTACCCTCCTTTAATTTCTATTTAATTTGTCTCTATGGAATTCCAAAGTCCGACGTGTACACTTTTTTGTCACTTTTGGAACGAGTGCTTCATAAATATATGAAAAACTCGAATACTAATATAGTACTGGCAGACGATTTAAATATTAACACTTTAATTTTAACAAAAGCCTCAAAATATATTTTTTTTGGAAAATATGATTAAGTTTCGTAATTATCTAAGCCAGTTAAACTTTACAGATGTTTTCTCTGAAACAGATGTAAATAGACCAATGCAAAAATTTTATCAAATTTTAACTTTACTTGTTAAATTATGGTTTTAAAAGCTGTAAAACCAAAAGAATATTACGATACCAATATTACACCACGAAAACAAATGAAAAATATAGAAAACATAGTTCTACATTGATCCGGCCGGGAATCGGACCATTAAAATCGATGTGCAAGTCACTCGACCACGGAGCCAGCCTTTTAGTGTTCTTTATCTAAACTTTGGTCAACAATACCATGCAAGTTAAGTCATTTGGCATACCTTAATCTTAGTTATTCTGTTTCAGGTGGCATAGGTACTTTAGTAGGTACTGTCACTAACCTAGCATTCAAAGGTCTTCTGGAAAAGTAAGTATAACTTATCCCTATGTTAAATACACTTTATGTTACAACCTGTATATAGATACCTGGTAGCTTAGTATACGTATACATATACGTATACATATACATATACATATATAATAATACTTGTCGGAATATAACCGTAAGAATCTTTGAGGGAAATACCTTCATCCCTGATTTTGCCTGGAATTATTATTGATAATTGCCTATTTATTATTTGTTGTCGATTCTTTCAGTCGACAATGAAAAAATAATACAAAAGATGGATATGGTTAAAACTGATTTTAATCGAAGACGCGGCAAGTTTGTTATAGAGTGTTTGCACCATTGCCCGGCCGTTCTATCTAGACTCACTGACGCGACGACCTTGTCCATCCCCATTCCACCACCATTGCGTATGCTTCCGCTTCCCCCGTTCTAGCTATCTCTGTATCGACATTACCTAGACTTACTGCGTGACGGTTCCAACTAGTACAATCTAAATATACTAGATGGCGTTGTAATTTTAACTACTCGAAAATCGCATAGACTGATGGCGCTGCGGCGACTACGCTTCTTCATTATATTATATCAGCTGTCTACGACGTCGCGGTAGAAATGGTCGGGCCGATGCACCTATCTAGGCTCTATATCTATCTGTCTATATAATATGTAGCCCTGGTTAATAACGACACTTAGTACTGCCAATGTATATTGATAGCGGTAACTACTAAACATTAAGTTAACCGTATAAATTGTTTGCCGATTCGTATCCAAAAAAGCAATTTTACTTTTAACATTTTTCTATGCAATTCTACCTACGGGAGTACTTCATTCGTTCTTTAATCTTTTATTATTACCTCGCATTATTCTTTGACAAAAGGAATATATATCTGTAGGAATGGGGATTCAGATAATATAACTCAAACTCGTCAGGAACTCATCTATATACCTACTATTTTTGCTTAATTACATTTAAGTACAACATGTCCTATTTCCTTTTCTAGGTACTATCCCGATGCCCCTGATTATCTTTCATTTCCAAAATATTCAGCATTTGCTCTCCCATACACTTTTTGCATGGAAATTGCTCTTTACGTCTGTTTGATCTTGATGAGTTTTGGATTTTTAAGGTATTATTACAATTCTTTGCCAAAATATCAACTCACAATAATAATCATTTGCACTCGAAAAAAAAAAATGTCATTTTGAGCAAAATATGTTATTAATTACTTTTTTATAATACGTAATATTTAGCACCCTTGATGTAATAATGTCACATCTGCAAAAACAACTTTTTTGGAGAGAAATTTAAAGCTTCTGCGAACGAAATTAGTCGATAACATTTTGTGCTTAAGTATGATATAAAATATTTTTTGATATCTTTTTGATATGTTTAAGTACATCATTCACTAATAATTTAAAAAATGTATGTATACCAACTCTCAGTCCTCGTTGTGTTCCGCAACTTATATTATATTGTCCATCACTTAAATCCAAACAAATTTGAAAGATTATCATCGACACAATGCCACAAAACCAGATTAGAACCACCCCGCCTCAATATAGAGTATTGAAAAATGAACTTTAAGTTGTGTGACATGCAGTGTACTATTAGCGAGTACAGTGAAAAATATTGGATAACAGGTCCACGTTGTTGGGACTCACGGCCTAGTATTTTGGGAACAGAGAATAGAAATTAGAAAGGGGAATCTGTGGACACTTGTCACGTAGTGATCAATTATGTAATTGAGAGGAAAATAGAAGAAAAAACCATGAGGCTAAGACCAAAAATGACTTACAGTGAACAAAGGAGCTGGCTATGAAGGCTACACGGACGAGTCTGGCTCTTATATTGATCGATGGTGACAGTAATCGAATTCCCTGTGTTGTATTTCGGAGCACATACAAGCAGAGCATCTTTAAAGTGCGATGGAATAGGCATCTTTTGGGCTAGCTGGTCTCATTGTAGATCCAGTCATTGCCTCTTGTCCAGGTAATGGTCAAGTACAAGACCATACAATAATAAAAAACGACAATTTTGTTTTGTGAACGACAAGGAGGTGTGAGTTTTGAATTGAGGCAGTGTCGATCGAGTGACAATCGGCGACGGTTTGCTGACGCTAGGACGTTAAATAAACGACCACCTTTAATACAAGATGGCCTCAAAGTGTTTCCGAAATTTGGTGTCTTTTTCTACCCATCAATACAAATAACTTTAATAAACCCTTCTGATTTCACGGTATTTGTAGACGGGATTTTCATATAACATTTGATGCGAAGCATTTGACTGTTCTATACGAAATGCTTTTTACCTCCTCGATCTAAATATGAAACACCTGATCAATAAGTAAGTTAATATTTTTGTTTAGACCAAAAAGTGAAGCTGCCAAAAGAGCTAAAATATCACCTGAAGGGATATTGGCTGCGAAAATGGCTGTTCAAGAGGATGTGAAGAACTTAGGCAAAATCACATATTGGGAAATAGTAAGTAGTTCGCTGTTCATAGTCTGATATGAAATAGTAATTTCGGGTGTCTAAACGTTATGTGATACATCACAATAAAGCAACGTCGTCGATGACGTCATGTGTGACGAATATTCAATAACATAACGTTTGCTAGGCAACCAATGATGATATAGGAAAATATCAATTGGTATCAATGCTCATTATTTAGGGAAGTCTGCCCACGCCCTGCTCGCGCAATTAGAATATAAATAGGTACGGTATACAGGTAATTGAGTTATGTAGAAATAATATTTACGTGGCCAATTGTTGAAAAGTTTGCAAACTACCGATATAAGTATGATTTACGAATAAAATAATTAGGTTTATGATACCTATAAATACTTCCTGTTAGCCGCTCACGCGATACATGCAGCCGTAGACGCATACCACACCTAGAGGTGCCGGTGATGATTTTATACCGATTTATCGGATATTGAAGTAAAAAAAGGTAAAAGAACTAATATTAATTGCTACTTCGGTAACTACTCTAGCAAACCATAAAATTTTTAATGCCTGGGTCTGTCATTTAAAAAAAAAAATAATTTCAAAAACACGTCACGACAATCGTGTGTGTTATTGTTTGGGCTGGTGATTTCGGTGTTTATTTATTGAAAACATACCGTAAGTAGCGTTTTTTAAGTTTACCCTGAATATAAATGTTTATAAACTATACTTTAAGGAGTAATTTCTTGGTAAACGTTAGAACCACTCAAACGGAATATTATCATATTTATCCAAGTACACCAAAAATGTCATTAGTGCTTTTTAAGTGCAGGATTTGTGGTGTATTACTGCATTTTATTTGAGATGTTTTTGTTGGTAGTACGGAGGGTATTTATTTAGCAATGCAGAATAATAATTTTAATTTATAAAAACTTGTATTTAAACTGAATGCTTTTCTTATTTGCGAAACCAAATAGCCGCCATTTTGCGGTAGGAGGAGCGCATCGCGTGAACGGCTAAATAGTAGGTAATGGTAGTTGAAAAGGAATAAAATTGTACGATTTTATTTTAAATTAACTTACTACATATCTCAACCAGCATCAGCAGCAGTAGAGCTCCTTGTGAAAGAGTTCGTCCAGGGAAGTAGTGCAACCTTACCTATTTCTGCCGCCAAGCAGTAATGTGAACATTACTGCGTTCCAGTTTCGGTGGGTAAGGGTGCTGGTGAAATTACAGGCACATGGGACTGGGCAACTTATGTCTCAGAGTATCGGGCGCAGTGGTAGTACCCCTCAGATCCTTGTGATTTAAAGCTCTGAGTGGCACTGCAAGTTAGAGACAGGTGTCACCGAGTATTATAAAAAAAAACCTTTTCCGGTTCTGAACTTGAATTACTACTCAAACTGGAAATGTTTGCAATCTCTCCCTTCAAATAAAAAATCGTTAGGGATTGCAGTTTTAAAAATATTTAAATACTGGTAATTTTTATGTTGGATTGAAATAGCTAGTAAACGATGAAACTTCTGTTGAACAAAGTTCATCATACATATGACTTCAAGATTAGTATTATTAATGCTAATCGAATCTCGGGCAAATATTTTGAAATGTGGTTACTGTAAAACAGTCTTGAGGTGAAAATCCTAAAAATCAAATGTTTTTGTTTGTTGAAATTTATTCTACATCAAATTTAGCAAGAGTATTAATATTTTATTTCGCGAACCTTTACAAAATAACGCAAGATTATTTATTGTCTTGTAATGGTCAACTCCAGTCGGTTTGAGTGAGTATGAGACTGGTTTGTGGGTGAGTTCTGGTTGACCCGATGCTGCGTGTAAAATTTATAAGCGAGGAGAAGGATGGGCGCCTTACACACAACGAAAACAAGTTTCAAGTAGAAATAACCAGAAGCTTTATTTTAAATTTGTTTTTGTTACATATTACAATTAAATCTAAGGGTACAGTATGGAGAACTAGTATTTTTACTTCCCTGAGTTTACAAAGGGAGAGTACGAATATGTTTACTGCCCTTAATTGTTACATACAAAAGATTACCTTTAAGTATACTTAGAGCTAATACACTGCACTAAGAGTTTATGAAAGTGCATGAGTGATACATGGACACTTCACTTATACGTCACTGACCTGGAGTTTACCGGATGCACATTTAAGTTACATACCAGATCCGCTGCGAAGACAGCGTAGTTGCTACAGGAGTAACGAAGTTATACGTAGGTGCCGACCACCCGTGGAGCTCATAACACGTGGTCGGGCACAGCCGAACAAAAGTTACAGCAGCTTAGTCTCAGCCATTCAGTTGATGGCGAGATTCGAAATTACAAGTACCAAAGGTACAAATAAGAAAGAAAAGAAAAACCCATGCGGTCCGGTGACACGGGTTTTACTTTTGGTACAGGGTTCGGAGACCCATAATTACGGCATCTGGCTATTCCTAGTTTATTTTATTTAAGATGGCATTGGGGGACCATGCCCCCAATGGGATAAATCACCGTAGACGATCTAGGAAATCTGGAACACCTTGCGCACCGACGACGTGTCGAACAGAAAAAATGAGCTTCCGCCGAATTCCTCCTAAGAGATGTTACCCGCGAACGACGCCACAGACAATCTATCGAATCATCTAGATACAGCTCCCAAGTCTTATCACCTAAACCCGCAAGACAAACATGGCGATTCCAGGTTTACGTATCTTACTTAACAGAAAGTACTTGGCAAACTATTTGACGGCGTTCGACGTGGAAATATTAAAGAAAAGCGATAATTTTCATGAAGCTCGACTACAGAAGTAAAATCGAGTTAATTGGTACGCAGCACTAATATTCTGTGTTACCATACAAGAAAAATTAGCCAGGGTTGGTGTTTTTAAAAATATGTCAAATTAAAGGGAACCCATTCACGATATTTATTTTATAGTAAAATCGTTCACCAATCGGTAATATATATGTGAATGGTGTAAAGAATAAATTACACCAACACTTAAGTTTCAACTAATTTACTAAATATTTTTAGACTATAACGTCAAAGTGACATTTTGTACAAGAATGGTGAAAAATACCCAGGAGAGAAGATAAACTTGGTTTCTGTTTTGTATTTAGTGGATCTACGGAAAAAATTGTGTTACAGTCTAAAAATATTTACAAATACAGTTCTACGTGTTAAACCAAACACACTGTAATATCAACGGCATTTTGAGAAAAGACATTATGATCAATAGATCATATTTCTTACCTCCATAGGTCCTTTTGAAATATTATGATATAGCTTTTTACTAAAGATACATCGGGAGCTTGTATTAAAAGGAGGGAAATAATTAAGGTTTCGAAAAAGAAATGAAATTGCAGCGAAATAGGGCAAGTGTAATAATACTAAGCTGTGTTAAAATGAGTAATAGAAAAAATATACAGAACATTCCGACTAAATTAATTATACTTAGCAAACAAGAACTTTTTTATGTTCTAAATATTGTATAAAAAATAGTAGTGGTGCAACCAATTCGAAAGTACCCTTAAAAGAGACTTCCTGGGTTAACACTTTCTTGTTTCTTTACAGAATGTTATTTTACTATTCGGAACATGCATGATAATGTTCTTCTGTCGCTCACCGCAAATATTTCCAGGTTGGGCGGACAGAATAATCAAATATTTTAATATTAAAGACTTAAAATTGTAAGTTACGTTCAATTTGGTATTGGTTTTCAAACTCTAAAAGACTCAAAATACTCCTTATTTTGTTTCTTTAATAACCTCATTTAAGTCATAGTTTTTGGGTACATGTTTTTAATAAAAGATTATTAAGAAACGTTTTTATTGTTTTACAGTATTAAAGATTCTGCTTGTGCAATGTTTTTTTGCTTTCTAATGCTATTATTGCCATCATCAATGGGCATATTTGATAATTTTACTAAACGTAAGTATTTCAAAATAAATTATGACCGTGACCTCAAAAAACAGGCGACAGCACTTCAAGCTATAAACTTTTGTGAAATCAAATTCATACTACAAATTCTATAATGTACGGAGTAATTCACTTTTCTCAAACGAAACAAACGAAACCTTATCTTACATTATGTAAGCTAGGAGAAAAAAAATCGGTTAAACCAAAATAGTGTGCCAGAGAACTAGGGACTTCCGCATCCAGTGCCCACAATGCAAACCATTAGGCCACAGAGGCCGTCAAATAGAAAAAAATATCCATTAAATCCATTCTTACATATTACAATTCCTTAATAATATATATTTTTTTAATTTTAGTTATGTTTCAGCTGTGGACGATCTGCCTACACAAAAACAGGGATCAGTGCTTAATTTCACGCCTATGGATGCTGTTCTTCCGTACAGTTTCAGTTTTCTTTTAGGTTAGTACTGATAGAATCGAGTTGGTGCAACACTAGCTCAATTTTGCATTCGAATCGGTCTCGCGCTATATTTTGACGTTTTTACTGGCGCATTTAAAAAGGTCCTTTTATTATAAAAAAATCAACATAGCACTTTCAGTGTATTAATGTGTTTTAGTTTTATATTTCAGTAGTGATAAAACACGATTTTTTCGACAAACGATTTGTCGAAAAATCCATAAGAAAACTTAAATATTCGACGACATTTTTAAAGTACCTTATACGTCTTCTAAGTATAAACATACGCTAAGTTTGCGTCAAATTGACTTGATGCGCAACGTTGCGCTGCATTTGCAACATAAGCCATATCTTTTACAATATAAGATTAACAAAACATGTAAGAGAAGATGTAACGACCGGAATCACGCTGTGCCGCGCGCACTTTACGAACTGCAATACGTACATAGTCTGTACTACTTAAATAATATTTATTTTAATACAAAATTACAAAAGAGTAAAGCCGAAGAAAAAGTGGTATGATTATTACCATCGTGATGATCCTGGTGGGCTCAACGTATTACTCGCTGATTAATGCTGATATTAGTATATTGGTATTAAAATTGTACTCGGAATTGTAGTGGTGTGCCATTCGAATACAAAATCACAAATACAACACAATTTTTATTGTAAACCCACAAATATCACTACAAATCTGGTCTGTGACTACAACGAAGGAAAAATATTTGTATGACCTACATTTATTTTTCTCGTGAGTTTGGGTATAATTTGTAGTTGTCTGTGGCTGTGTCCATGGCACCCGCGACATAGAATATCCTTAGTGCGGGGCTATGAGTGTGTGCGTTATTATATTATATTATAACAATTTTTTTTTGTAAACGCACAAATGTCACTACGTGTGAAATTCAGAGCTCTCACTAATATCGCTGTATCATGTAGAAGGGTCAGAAACAAAGAATTACTGCTTTATTGCACCCTACTACCAATATAATACACTTATGTATACTTCATCTTTCAGGTGGGGGATTTGCATTATCAACAGCAGCTAAGAAAGAGTACTCTGATTTGAACGGAAAAATCGGAGAGGCGTTAATCGGACTACAGAATTTTCCAAATAATCTTATTATTTTAATAATAATAATAATAACTGTTATTATAACGAACTTCGCCTCCAACGTCGCTGTTTGTAACGTCCTCGTTCCTATAGCCATGACTTTGGTGAGTGGTTACTATGGTATTTGTCTCACAAACTGGTTGATATTAATTAAGTTCCACTCAAGTAAACCCACACTAACACCTCTCTCCTGTCAGATAGTTAAAAACCATATAATAATAATATTAGCCAATACCAACGCCTCCTCCATAATGCGAGGACTTCGTCTGTAGTTACCACGCGGATCCAATGCGGATTGGGAATTTCACCAACAAAATGCCTAATAATATAAAAATATAGCAAAAAATTATTCATTCACTACCAAATTAATTCTTTAAAAAAAAGCATAATAATCGGTCTCAGAATTCATGCAGGACTTAGTCGACAGAAATTAGTCGTAATACATACTAGATTTAAGTACAATAGGCTGTACCCAGCCTATAAGATGGTTGCAATAAACGATTTTTACAAGATACATTTCTTTTGTGCTACCTGTGATGCTATTAAATAAATAAATATATAAATAATTAAATATGATTGCAACTTTATGACTAATTCTTATTTATTTAAATATAAACGTTACTATTTTTACTTTCTTTTTGTTCCATTAAATGTGCCAGTGTGTGTATTTAGGTGACTATTTTGTCTTTTCGGTATATAAATCGAGTAAACTATGATCATTCAATACAGCCATATAAGCGGTGTATATATATATATATATGAAGTATTA